TGGATTCGGTAGGCAACTTGAGCGCACTCTGTACATGCTCCAAGATGAAGCTGTTAATCTAGTTTAGAAGATTCTAAACTGGGAGAATTTTCTGACAGACTAGTGATTTGGCTACCTGTTGGCTTTAATCCCATGCCTTTAACAACAAAGACATGCAGGCAAGAAAAATAGACCAATAACTCTCCACTCTCCATATCCCACTCAAATCCAGGATTTACAGGCAGTCCTCATTTAGTGACCACAATTGGGATCGGCAACGGAGTCTCTAATCCCACAACTGTGCTTACCATCTTCCTTCAGCTTTCCTTTGCAAACCTGCAAAAGCCATCCATGCGAGGACTGGTTGCCAAATGACTTTTTTTTTTTTTAAATCACCATCGTAATTTCCAATGGTCACTAAATGAAGCAGTCGCTAAATGAGGACTGCCTTTGCGGGGTGAGAAAAAAAAACAACGAAGCGGAATCGGTTTTTCTCCCCTGTATCTGCTCTGCTTTATTTATCCCTTCTACTGATGTTTTCTGGTCCAAGGCAGCCTTTCTCCTAGGTGGCACTCATATGGGGAACTACAAAGGCCATGCTCCACCACCCAACTCATCTCAAGGGCCCCCAGGTGAAGACGAATATATGTCCAAAGAGGGAATTGGAATAGATGGAAGGGCCGGTGGTCCTGTGCTGATTGTAAGCCCTGTTAACCGTGGATGACGATAGAAAAATGATTTTTCAGGAAAAATGATTAAAATGAGAAAACTATCAAAATAATTTCTGGTTCCTGGAAAAAGGCTGGAGCATCAATGGAAGATCGAGGGGGGGGGTCGTGCCCTATAGGTGCCACTTGGGACTACCTACAGCCACCGTGGATGGGGGGGGGGTGAGGCAGGGGGCTATGAAAAAAAATGAGTGCAAACCAGCCAATCCTAATCCATAATCTTGCACAGGTAGTCCTCAACATACGACCGCAATTGGGAGCAAAATTTCCACGCCTCAGTGAGGCGGGTTGTTAAAGGGAACCATGCCCGATTTTACAACCTTTTTTCGCCCCGGTTGTTAAGTTGTTCAATCGTGGTCGTTAAATGAATCATGTGGTCGTTGAGCGAATCCGGCTTCCCCCTCATTTGACTTTGCTTTTTGGAAGCCGCTGGGAAGGTCGCAAACGACCCCGGGAATACCATCCGATTGGCAAGCCTCTGAATTTTGATCCCGTAACCGTGCAGAGATGCTGCAGTGGTCATAAGTGTGAGGACTGGTTGCAAGTCACTTTCAGTGCCATCGTAACATCGCTGAACGAAGGGTTGTAAGTCAAGGACTAGCTATATGTACACTAATTGAAGGGTGGGGAAAGCTTTCTAAAATCTAGGAATTCTTCAAATAGAGATAGTCCTCGACTTATGACCGCAACGGAACCCAAAATTTCTTTTGCTAAGCGAGACACATGTTCAGTGATTTTTTTTTTTTGTTTGCCCCATTTTCCACAATGGAGTTGAAAATTTCCGTTGCTAAACAAGACAGTGAAGTGAGATTGGCCCAGTTTTACGACCTTTCTGGCCACCGTTGTTAAGTGAATCATGGCAGCTATTAACTTAGTCACACGGTTGTTAAGCAAATCCGGCTTTCCCGGTTGACTTTGCTTGCCAGAAGCTCGCAAAAGGGGACTGCGTGTCTACCCCCGCACCGCCGGGACGGCTGCAACCGTCATAAATAGGAGTCAGTTGCCAAGCGTCCGAATTTTGATCATGCAACGGTCGTTAAGTGTGAAAAATGGTTTCGGTCACTATTTTCAGTGCCTTTGTAACTTTGAATGGTCACTAAATCAACTGTTGTAAGTCGAGGACTCTCTCTAGCCTGCCTCTTCCTCTCTATGCTCCTCTCCTCTCCCTAAAACATTGTTGGAAACATGGGCGGCCTTGAAAGAAATTCTCTTTTTAGTGTCTCCGTTTCCCAAAAATTTGCAGCCTAATTTAAATTAAATTTATTTTATTTTATTAGATTTCTAAACCGCCCTTCTCCCGAAGGACTCAGGGCAGTGAACAGCCAAAGGATAAAACACAAGAATACAAAATTTAAAATAAATTAAAACAGATTAAACAATTTGGCTCAATTTTAAAAATATCCCATAATTAAACAAATTAAAATTAGTATTTAAAATTTAAATTTTAAAATTTTAAAAAGGAAAAGATTATCATTTAAAAGGTGATTTAAATAAATCACCTAAAAGGTGATCATTTAAATATCATTTAAAAGGTGGTTTCCACTACAGGAGCTCTCTGAGGGATTGCTAGAAGCTTCTCGGCTTCGATGAAATGTCAAATATAAGGCAATTTTCCTGACCTGGGTCCTCCAGAAGGGACTGGGGACTACGACTCCCAGAATGCCTCAGCTAGCCCTGAGGAATTCTGGGAATCGCAGGCCAAACAGGTGGCAGATGATGGACCACTGAGGTAAGGCATCTTGGACCTTGGTCGAAGTAGAATGGCTAAAGCCAGAGGTATATATTGAAGAAGGTCTACCACCCTGGCAACTTTACGATTTGGGGGACTTCAAATCCCAGAATTCCTCAGCCAGCATCGCTTGGCAACTTTACGATTTGGGGGACTTCAAGTCCCAGAATTCCTCAGCCAGCATCGCTGGCTGAGGAATTCTGGGAGTTGAAGTCCCCAAGTCATAAAGTTGCCAAGGTTGGAGACCTCTGTGTTTTGAAGGATGCTCATTAGCAAAATAATTTCTGGGAAGGAAGGTGGGCATTGGAAGTGCCAACCTTGGGGTGGGGTGGGGGTGGTTATTCCTGGCACCACCACCCAAAAGAGCCGATGAGGTAAACCTGCCTGCAGCATCAGAAGCCCCTGGGCAACGGGGAGACAGGATGGGGGGATAGACGACTCAGGGGGTCCGTTCTCAACCCAACCGGCTTCCCTTGCCCTGTTCCATTTGGGCACCCTTGGCCTACGATCCCCAAACTCCGCCATTTAAAAAAATCCAGAACCTCCAAAGAGGATCTAGAATTCTTCCGTGAACATAAATCCTTTTCTTGTCTCAAGAAGGATGCCATTTGGAGCAGGTGAGAAGACGGAAGCCCCTTAACAAAGCTATCTTTTGTGAGATCTTGGCAGGATTAAAAATCTCTGGCCGGTGAACCCCAAAGGTGCTTTTTTCAAAAGGCAACCGGATTTTTAGTTTCCCCTTGAAGACGTTTCGCTTCTCATCCATGGAGCTTCTTCGGTTCTGAACCGAAGAACCGACGAAGCTCCTTGGTTGGGAAGCGAAACATCTTCAAGGAAAACAACAAACTCGGCCGCCTTTGGGGGAAAAAAGCACCTTTGCTGGACAACGGTGACCTGGATGGCTGAGAATCTCCATAGACACTTCTGTTCTGTTCTTCAATCAGAACCGAGGAAGCTCCTTGGATGGGAAGCGAAACATCTTCAAGGAAAACAACAAACTCCAGTCGCCTTTGGGGGAAAAAAGCACCTTTGGGACAACTGTGACCTGGATGGCTGAGAATCTCCACAGACATCTAGCTGGTTAAATGACTTTGAACCCGGAGCCCAGGCGTGCCCGTCTGTGGGACAGAGTTAAAAAAAACCGTGGGTCTGGTTTGCATCGGGGTTCGAGGGAAGGATGGAAGGGTGAAGGATTGAATTGCTCAGGCTTCCCCAGACCAGGCAACCCTGCAAACAAATGTCCGGAGGAAAGCCACAGACACACAATGGTCGGCCAACGGCTGTCTCTTTAGCGTCAGCCTGCTTCCTTCCCGAGCGGTTCCCGAAGGACATCTGTTCGCCCCAGAATCAGGTCACGGGGTGTCATCTGAAGATGCACTCCCGTTTTTGGAGAAGGAGAAAGCCGGTTTCCCTCCTCTCTGCATGCCTGCAGGTGCAACTCCAGGGTGGATCCGGCTCCCTCCCTTTCCCTCCCTTCGCCTGGCTTCTACAAAGAAGGATGCAGAACGGAGCAGCAGCGAGGGGAGGGGGTTTCTTCCTCTCCCTTGATTAGGTTGGCCGCTTCTGCTAGGCTTGGGGGCACCCCTGCTCTGGGGCTGCGCTCCCACAGGTGCCCTACGGCTTCGCTCCCTTCCCGGCACAGCCCTGCCAGGCCTGGCGTGGCACGCCCAAATAGGGCAACGTGGTTTTTTTCACCCAAGGAACGAAGCAGCTGAACCCCAAGCCCCCTTCTTGCTGGGAAACGAACCCTGAATCGGAACCCCGGGGGGCCTGGCACCCCGACAGAATGCAGCTACAAACAGCTGGGAGAAAGTGGGAGGGAGGGAAGGAGGGAGAATGGGGCTGGATTGACCTTCTGTGAAAGTCAAAAGACCTCCAAGAAGGATGGAGGTAGCGTTCAGACATTCCCAAGTGGGTTTTCAAACAGGCATCATCCCCCCCTCGCCGCCTTTATTCCGGGGTACCTAAAAGAAGACTCCTTTTGCAGCAGGAGAAGTCCAGGGTTAGCTGGTTCGGGCCAGGGAGACGTGGGGTGAGCTGTGGACGCCGAGACGTGGCATCGGAGGGAGTGGTAGGGTGCATGCCAAGGATCTTGCGATCCATCGTCTGAATGCAACATGCACGGAGGAGACAGTGCCCAGCTCTGCTTGCGGCATACCTCTGGCAAAAATTAAAGAGGAGGAGGTGGGGGGAGGGAGACTTTTTTGGGGGCGATCGACACACACACAAGCCTGCTTGCACTGTGGGTCCACGTGTTTACCACGTGCCCGCCACTTCTCTGTCTCCCCAACCCGAGGCTTCCCACCCCAGTACCGAGACGGGCTTTGTGCCTTGGCGACACGAAAAGTCTGGTCCAGTGTGGAAGCCAGTGCCCGCCCGATCCCCGGCGTCGCCGAGCGTCACGCCACCCACGTCTCCCCCACACCGCCGAGGCACGCCGTGCCCTCCGATGGAATCTTTTGCCTGGCAGCCATTGAACGAGGGGGGACAGAAGAAGAAGGAGGAGAGGAAACCTTCCTGGCTGTCTCTCCTGTCATCGGCTTTGAAATGGCCGCGAATCGACACCCGGCAAAGACACCCTTCGAGGTGGGGTGATGGGGGTGTGGGGAGGCAGGAGAGAACAGGGTGACAAGTGGGATGCCAAGCGAGGGAATGTGGGCACCCCGAGGGCAGAGGGAGAGAGGGGAGAGGAAGGAGGGGGCATCAGCATGGATGGCATCCATCCTTCCATCCGAGCCGGAAAGCAGCTGCAAAGACGGTTGAAAGGATCAGCGACGAACGGTCGGATTACAAGGCAAAACCAGACTAGACAGTCAAATTTCATGGGTAAATAAACACGGTGCCAAGCCAGGATGGCTTCAAAGTGGAGAGAAGAGGAAGGGTGGGGGGGTTGAGAGGTGACGGGCAGCCTCCCCGAGCAAGGCAGGAGAGGCTGGCCAAGTGGGTGTGTGCTGGGGGGGGAAGGAGGAGGCAGTGGGGGATGGGCTGATGGAGGACTTGCCTTTGAATGAAGCCAAGGCAAGCTGTGGAGATACCTGATTCTGTATGTAAACAGCTGGGTTTCTTCTTCTCTTTTTCTTTCTCTCTTTTTCTCTCTGCATGTTTTTTTTTTTTGTTTTTTTGTCTTTTCCGGAACCACCTGATTGTTGAGAAGCGAGAGTTCCCTGGGAGGATTCAGTACGTAAAGACCAAGTCCGAAATGCTGGACATCAGCCAGTCCCCTGCGATCATCTCAGTCACTTCCGGGGTACAGTAATCGGGGAACTCAAAATGAGACGAGGCGCCCAAAGGAAAAAGATCCAGATCTTTATCAAAGACCGACCAGTCCGGGCTCCGGCAAGGGGGCGTGTTTGGCTGGACTCGGCTGGGCACAACGTTCCAAAGATCTTCCTCTGGCTCGTCATCTGAGGAGGCAAAGGAAGAAGAAGAAGAAGAAGAAGATCTCGTAGAAGCTGGAGAAGACACGTCGGAGGACCAGGGCTTGGCGAGCTCGCCGGCTTCGGCGTCTTTGGCCTGGCCAGAGTTGGCTTCCCACTCTCCTTTCTCACCACCTGCGGGAAGCACGTGCCAGAATTCCTTGCTGGAGGTTTTGGGACCTTCGTCAAACGATACCTCCAGGATGCGGGCTTCCAAGGGGTCGTCGTCTGGCTTTGGAGAGGCGCATCCCCCCTGGCCTTCGGGATCCGGCTTCGGCGTCTGCCTCCGGGGCGAAGCTGCCCGTCCAAGGACGGAGGGTTTAATCTTGACGGGCACCCTGGGCCGGGCCTTGGCACTGCCCAGCTTGCCTTTCTTCCTGGGCCGGTACTTGTAGTCGGGATAGTCGGCCATGTGTTTGAGGCGTAACCGTTCGGCCTCCTTGACGAAAGGGATCTTCTCTGAATCTTGGAGCAACTGCCAGCGCCGTCCCAGCCGCTTGGAGATTTCGGCGTTGTGCATGTCGGGCCACTGGTCCATGATCTTCCGCCGTTCGTTCTGGGACCACACCATGAAGGCGTTCATGGGGCGTTTGATGTGCCCGCTGGGGGTCTTGCACCAGTCCGGTTCGCCCGTGCCATCTTTCAACAGCAAGCTGCCTTTGGAACACGCCTCCTGCTTCGCTTCCACGCCTCGGGTCCGCGTGGAGCTGCGTTGCTGGACCATGCTGTTGCCCTGATGCGCCGCCGACTCTCCGAACACTCCTCCTCCGGATGCTCAGTCCAAGCCGGGGTTATTTTCTCATCGTCCGGTGGGTGGAAACACCGTGGTGGCGGGCTCGGCACGGCCGGCAGGTGGGCGGGTGAGCCTCGGTGGTTGCCAGCGAGCGAGATCGCCCCTCTCTCTCTCTCTCTCTGATCCACGCCCCCCTTTTAACTCCGTCTCCGAAGCAGCCGGCTGGCAAACTGACAGCAGGAGGTCCTGGCGGCACCTGCTTTGGGCCTGGGGGAGATGCCCAGCGGAGAGGGGGTGCAGAGAGCCGGGAAGCGGTAGGAAATCTTTGGCAAAAACAGCTGGAGAGCAGGGAGGGTCGAGAGAGGAGGCCGTCAGTAACTCCGTGCGGCAGGATTCCAAGGGCCAGGAGCATCCCCGAGGAACAACGGATGGACAGATGGAGCAGTCACGCCTTCTCCTTCTCCTCGGGGTGGTAGAGACCTGAGTGGGGAGAGAAGAGGGGGAGAGACCCCCACCACTCAAAGCAGCAGCCCCTCGGTGTCCTCCCCCCCCACTCCAGGCCGCCCTAGATCAGCTCCGGCTGGCTTTGCAAACACAGCCTGCTCACGCCCACTCTTCCTTCCTCTCCTCCTCGCTGCCTTCTCTTATAGCCCATCCTCGCTGACAGCCCCCTCCTCCTCCTCCTCCTCCTCCCCGTCCCCCCTCCCCCACACGCTCGGCCCCTCCCCTCCAGCACAGTCTAGGGCTGCACACATTGCTGCCAAGAGTAAACACCAAGGTGCTGCTTCTGTCAATGGGGCGCCCCTCCTCCGACAGCACGTCATTGGTTGCGAGGCAGGAATGGGGTATTTGCATCCCCCAATCGGCTGGCACAGCCCCCCCCCCCACTCCCAGGAAGGGAGGGAGGGAAGGTCCAAAACTTTCTCCCCAGCCAACACACCCACCTGCCTCCCCCCACTGCCTTTCCCCCACACCCCCCAGCAGCAACCCTCTAGATGGAGCCGGGAGGGAGGAAGATCCTGCAAACCCCACAGAATTCCAGATTGGTACCCACTGCAGAGGAATTATGCCAGGGCAAGAGAAGGATTTCAGCAGCCGGCAAAAAACAGGAGGGGCACCCAGCGAAGGATGGGGAAAATGCTTTCCATTTCTCAGGAAAAGGTGGATTTTTCACAGCAACAGTGGAGGTTTTCGAGCAAAATTTCCAACTTTAGGGCCAATCTTTTACAGCCAGTTACTTTCCTGCTCTCTTATTTATGTTTGCATTTGAGTTTGTGTGTTCATGGATATTTATTTGTGTGTGTGTGTGTGTGTTTGTGTGTGTGTGTGTAAATATATATACACATACATATTCATGCACACACAAACCCAAGCATAAATAAGAGAGGAAAGGGACAGGGCTAGAGTTCTCTGCTCCTATTTATATAGTTTTCATATTGATGTTGTGGTGTTTATTTGTATCATGCCTTCATTATTTTTTTACTAACAACTCAAGGTGGCGAACGCACTTAACACACCTCCCTCCTCCTATTTTCCCCACAACAACTCTGCGAGGTGGGTTGAGCTGTCTGGCCCAGATTTAGCCAGTTGGCTTTTGTGCCTATGGCACAAAGGACTAGAATTCACCGTCTCCTGGTGATCGACTCAAAGTCAGCCACTTGGCTTTCGTGCCTAAATTTGGACTAGAACTCTCAGTCTCCTGGTGACTGGCCCTAAGTCATCCAACCAGGTTTCGTGCCTAAGTCGGGACTAGAACTCACTGTCTCCTGGTGATTGGTCCAAAGTCAGCCAGCTGGCTTTTGTGCCTACGGCAGGACTGGAATTCACCATCTCCTGATGATCGACTCAAAGTCATCCAACGAGGTTTCGTGTCTAAGTTGGGACTAGAACTCTCAGTCTCCTGGTGATTGGCCCTAAGTCATCCAACCAGGTTTCATGCCTAAGTCGGTTGGTACTAGAATTCACTGTCTCCTGGTGATTGGCCCAAAGTCAGCCTATTGGCTTTCGTGACTAAGGTGGGACTAGAACTCTCAGTCTCCTGGTGATTGGTCCTAAGTCATCCAACCAGGTTTTGTGCCTAAATTGGGACTAGAACTCTCAGTCTCCTGGTGATTGGCCCTCAGTCATCCAACCAGGTTTCATGCCTAAATCGGTCGGGACTAGAATTCACTGTCTCCTGGTGATTGGCCCAAAGTCAGCCTATTGGCTTTCGTGACTAAGGTGGGACTAGAACTCACTGTCTCCTAGTGATCGACTCAATGTCAGCCAATTGGCTTTTGTACCTAAGTTGGGACTAGAACTCTGTCTCCTGGTGATTGGCCCTAAGTCATCCAACCAGGTTTCATGCCTAAATCGGGACTAGAATTCTCAGTCTCCTGGTGATTGGCCCAAAGTCAGCCTATTGGCTTTCGTGCCTAAGGCAGGACTAGAATTCACCATCTCCCTGTTTCTAGCCTGGTGCCTTAATCATTAGACTAGACCAGGTCTCAATATTTATGTATATGTTCATGTTTGTGTGTGTATGTATGTACGTATGTATGTCTATACTCTATATCTATATGTCTATCTCTCAACTGTCTGTCTATCTAACCCTACCTACCAAACTACCTGGAATTCCTATAATTCCAATTTCTCCATTAATTCTTCATTCAAAGCCACAATTGGAGGGTACCTCAAAAACCCCGCAATACTGCATTTCGAGCCCTTCGTGCCAGCTGGCCTCGTGGGATTTCGAATCCAGACCCAGGGCTCGTTTTCTCCAAGACCTTTAAGAGCCCCATTCGTCTCGAGGGATACTGAAGAGGTGAATGCCCAAAATTTATCTAGGCCCATCATCTGCCCACTATCCAGCGGCCACTACAGACAATCCTCAACTTACAACCACAATTGAGCCCTGTCGCAAAACGAGACAGTTTTGCCCCGTTTTACGACCTTTCTTGAAATTGTTGTTAAGCGAATCACCGCAGTTAAGTTAGGTTGTTAAGGGAGTCTGACTTCCCTTTTGACTTTGCTGGTTGGAAAGTCGCAAGAGGGGATCACGTTTTCCTGGGACACTGCCACCGTCATAAATACGAGTCAGTTACCAAGCTGACTACCGAATTTTGATTACGTGACCATGGGAACGGTCGTAAGTATGAAAAACAGTGATAAGCCACATTTTTCAGTGACGTTGTAACTTCAAACTGTCCCTAAATCAATGATTGTAATAAAAGAGACAGTTTGCAAACTTCAAATAGATACTAACTAATTCAGTGTTTTTTCAAGACATGGACACTTTAAGATGGGTGGACTTCAACTTCCAGAATTCTCCATCTTGTATTGTTCATGGATGGGAGGCCACCAGGAGATCCTAAGACTGCAGACTAAACCAGGAAACCCAAAAATATCATGGAAGCATGCCAGAGGAAATCAAACCTGTATCGTTCCCCTCAAAATTATCTGGCTGTCCAGCTCACCTTGAAGAAAAGTTTACCTTACCTTACCTGGCTGGGAACGATGGACGCTGTAGTCCCAGCACACGCAGAGGGAAGGCATGTTCAAAGCTCCTCACGTACGTTCTCTCGCAAGCGTTTTACAACCCCCCTGTGAAGTAGGACGGCCTTGTTTTCTCGGTGAGGCCTGGAAGTGAGTATTTTTCGGGGGAAAGATTAAGATATTAGTCATTTTTAGCCTCGATTCCCATTTTTTTCTTCCAGATGAGACAAAGAACGGGAATTCAATAGCCTGAGATTGTAAGTGGAAGGGGAAAAACTGCTTTTTAAAAATTTTAATCCTGAGGAGAATCTGCAGGGGGGGGAAGGCGAAAAAGTCAAAATGGCAGCCAATGCAATTGAAAACCTGCTCCCTTCCCTCCTTTTTTTTTTGGCACATTTTGGATTATATGTAAAAGGGGTTTGGATTGCACTGTTGCAAGCGCCATTTTGACTTTTGGCACATAAATCTTTCCTCTATAGCAGTGTTTCTCAACCTAGGTAGCTTGAAGATGGGTGGACTTCAACTCCCAGAATCCCCCAGCCAGCAGCGCTGGCTGGGGGATTCTGGGAGTTGAAGTCCACCCATCTTCAAGCTACCTAGGTTGAGAACCATGCTCTATAGGTCCTCCCAAAAGTCACAATGACTTTAGCCCTAAAATGCAGGGCAAATGTTATACAGCTAAGTCCTCGACTTACGACCACAATGGAGCTCAAAAACTCTTGGGAGGTTGAGTTTCACAACCATTTTACAACCTTTCTTCCCACTGCGGTTGTTAAGTGAGCAAGACGGTCGTGAAATGAATCCGGCTTCCCTGTTGACGTTGCTTGCGGGACGGTCGCAAAAGGAGATTGCGTTGACCTCGGGACGCCGCAATAAATAAATACAAACCAGTTGCCAAGTGTATGAATTTGGATCAGATGACCAAATGGGTCGTTAAGTGTGAAAAACGGTCATAAGTCACCCTTTTCAGGGCCGTTGTAATTTTTGAACCGTCACACTAGACAAACGGTCATAAGTCAAGGACTGTCTGTACTCAAGAATCAAACTGCAAGAAAATTGCAGGATAAAACGGCCAAAAACACACTTATCCATGACTGTCTCGACGAAGGGGGCTTAAATTTTTCCACTTCCAGAGACAACTGCAAAGGTGTGAAATTTGAAGTAAACTGTTTTAAAATCTCTTGTTCTGAAATGTTTTAAAGACTTTTGTTGTAATATGTATGTTTGAATTGTGAGCTGCCCAGAACCGTTTGCTGAGATGGATGGCTATAGAAATCAAAGAGATGGATGGACGGATAGAGAGATGAGAGACAGAGAGAGAGAGAGAGAGAGAGAGAGAGAGAGAGAGAGAGAGAGAGAGATGGATGATAGATAGATACCATGTTTCCCCGAAAATAAGACCCTGTCTTATATTTTTTTGAACCCTGAAATAAGCGCTTGGCCTTATTGCCATGCGCTCAAAAGCCCAATTGGGCTTATTATCAGGGGATGTCTTATTTTGGGGGAAACAGGGTAGATAGATAGATGGTGGATGGAGAGAGAGAGAGAGAGAGTTAATAAATAGTGATAGATGATAGATAGATAGATAGATAGATAGATAGATAGATAGATAGATAGATAGATAGATAGATACCATGTATGCCCGAAAATAAGACCCTGATTGGGCTTATTATTAAGGGATGTCTTATTTTGGGCGAAACAGGGTAGATAGATAGATGGTGGATGGA